AAAAAAAAAAAAAAAAAAAAAAGAAAGAAAGAAGTGAAAACACACAGGGTGCGTTTGCAAGGTCAGGCAAGCCCTTCCCAGGAAGCTGGCAGCCTTTGGGAAATGAAATTGTTACGTTCTGTGTTGAAGGAGAGGGATGAGGATAACACCCGGGATGGATTCAGTGAAAGCCTGAGTTTGGTATTCCCTGTTAGCCAAGTCCATTTGTATTTTCTGGCTCTGGGAAGAAGTGACCCTTGGGAGGAAAGAACTGTAATTAGTATCCTCTTTGACAAATTCACAGCCTTGCCACAAAGGGCTGGAGACTCTGTCATACTGGAAGAAATGTCCACTGGCTCTTTCACAATCTAAAATTTTAAAAAATGATCATCAGTCATGTAGAAACAATATAAACTTTTTTTTTTTAAAGCCTGATAAATTGGGAAAAAATAGAATAGCATGAATAAAATCAGAGAATTGCTAATAATCTATGCCTTTGTTGCAAACACCAAGGCTATTTTTCTACCCACTCCTTTCTGGTTTTTTTCAATTAAAAAATTTTTTTTCTTTCTTTCTTTCTTTCTGAGACAGAGTCTCACTCTGTCACCACGGGTTGAGTGCTGTGGCATCATAGCTCACAGCAACTTCAAACTGTTGGGCTCAAGGGATCCTCCCTCAGCCTACCAAGTAGCTGGAACTACTGGTGCCCACCATGACACCCGACTGATTTTTCTACTTTTAGTAGAGACAGGCTCTTACTCTTGCTCAGGCTGGTCTTGAACTCCTGAGGTCAAGCAGTTCACCTGCCTTGGCCTCCCAGAGTGCTAGGATTACAGGTGTGAGCCACTGTGCCTGGCCTCTTTTCTGAGTTTTTCTGTTTTTTTTATTTGTTTGTTTTTTTGTTTGTTTGTTTTTTGGTAGTGAGACTCTGTCTCACTTTTTCACCCTCTGTAGAGTGCAGTGGAGTCGCTCCAGCAACCTCCAACTCCTGGGCTTAGGCAATTCTTCTGCCTCAGCCTCCTGAGTAGCTGGGACTACAGGCGCCTGCCACAACGCCCAGCTATTTTTTGTTGCAGTTTGACCGAGGCTAGGTTTGAACCTGCCACCCTCTGTATATGGGGCCGGCGCCCTACTCACTGAGCCACAGGCGCCTCCCTGTTTTTGTTTTTGTTTTTAACTAAACCAAAGCTTTTCTAGTTTTGTCCTCAAAGAATACCATTTATCTTTCTCAAAGAAAGAAAAAAGAATACAGGATAGATAAAGCTATCCTGTAGTTGAGTTTTAAATGATACTTTTTTCCAGATTGTTATCAGGGAAGGAATTTAATGGATAGAATTTTTTTCCATAAATTTTTATTACGGCTTTGCCATTAGCTAATATTTAATCTGAATGGACAAACAGCAGACAGTAATTTATGTAAAACAGAGTAGCTGATATTTCTTAAGATCAGCTTATATGTTTGGGGGACCCATTCTTATCATTGTCATTTTTTAGTATGGAGCCACATTTATGCCTTTATAATTATCTCAGTGGAAGATGAACACTTTCCCCATATCTCGGGGAAAAGGACTGCAAGGCGGAGGTGGGGGAGTAGAATGGGAAGTCATAATTAGAGTGTGGGTCTGTGCTGCTCTTAAAGATAGGTCCAGGTGAGCAACTGCCTCCCATAATAAATACCCACGTCGAGGACAAGGAGGACAAAGGCAGTTCAGTACCGAGCCAGACCGTGGCTGCTTGTTCTAACCTGGCTTCCTTGCTCCCAAGCTGTGTAACTCTGATCAACCCCATCCGGGCTAAACAGTTCTTACCTCAAAGGGCAATTAAGAAAATAAAATGAATTAATTATGAAGAGTGTTTAGAATAGTTCCTGCCTCATGTAAGTACATAATAATGATAGCTGACTAAATGTAGCTATTTTTATTAAAAATCATCTTGTCCAGGGTGGCGCCTGTGGCTCACAGGAGTAGGTTACCGGCCCCATATACCAGAGGTGGTGGGTTCAAACCCAGCCCCGGCCAAAAAAAAAAAAAAAAAATCATCTTGTCCATGAATGTGCCTGTGTAGTTGTCAAAGAGCACAAACCCCTTTTGCTGCTTCTGTATCTAAGACTTAGTAGACTCCACAGTTTGGAAGTGGTCCTAAAAATTGTACATACACAGTTGTGCAATCACAGTGTGGACACAGACTCCGGGCTGTCCCCTGTGTTCAGTGCTTGGCTGCATGCGTGGTCGAGGTGCCTGCTTGTCACCATACAAAGGGATCAGCTGGTGCATTGGATCCAGGTAATCCTGCTGGGAAAGACTGGTGGTGCTTTTACTTGGAACTAGCCAAGTCTGTAAGCTCAGGCAGAGGGGAAGCTTCTAATACTGATTTCTGGTGATCCAGGGATTCTTTTAGATCTACATAGTACAGAGAATATCTGGTGACTTCTATGTAGGAGATAAGATCAATCCAGACCTGCTTATCCAAATTTGGCTTATCCAAATTTGTATTTACCAAACCTAAATCCTTCATGCTGCAAGGCTGGCTCCAATTTTCATGGAGGCTCCCTTCTACCTCCACCCCAACTCTGTGGACTTGGTGGAGAGAGTCTGTTGGGTCTCTAAATGTTTGCGGGTCTCGTAGGTCTGTCCACGTATAGATGTGTATGTGTGGGTGTCTGGATCCCAAATCCAAGCTTTTTATCTTGAAGCAATGGAGGCCAAGGGGTGGGGGGAGGCACAGGAATAGTGGAAGCTTCAGACATCCTCATTGGATCTTACCTTTAGCACCTTGGTGGGGAGGTAAGATCATCCTATTCATATTTGGAGATTTCTCTTAAGACTTCTAAGAGGCATTTTGCCATTCAGAATTTTTATTTCTGAAATTATCATTTTACCCTCTGCCCTTTGCTTTTCGAACTAAACATTCTTTTTTGAAACTGTAATGACATAGTCATTTTCAGCACACCTCTGACAAACGTGTTGTGGTCTCTTGTTGCCGTTGTGTGTTGAGGTTACTGACACACGTTTGAATGAAGTATGTTTTGTTGAAATGCAAGTGACAAGGAGGGTTGGCGTTTAGGAATATGACTCTATTGTCTGTCATCACTTCTGACAATAGGGCAAATTATTTCTCTGCCATTTCTATGTTGTGAGATTACTTTCCCTGGCAGGGAGGTTTAAAATCATCAGAAATGGAGCTGGGTCCTACCAGGAATCAGAACTGAATGTCTCAGGCTTTAGCTGTGGAGCGTCTTGATCTTAGGGAGTCCACTGCCAGCACCCTCAAGCTGGCCCTGCTCGTCCCCTCTCCAGGCAGCTCTGTGTAGGCTGAAGTGTGTCCTTGGAGGCAGGTGGAGGCCCTGACAGGGAGCTGAGGGACTCCTGCACTGCGCCTTGGCCCTGCCTTCCTGTGTAAAGCCTGCTTTTTGAAAGGTGTCTTTGCAAACCAGTATAGAGTCTGTTCTTGCTGTGTTTTCGGAGAAGAAGGATACTGTATGATTTTCCATCCCCACCCAGCGTCCTTTTTTTGCTTGTTTTCAAACAGGCTAACCGACCTCCTGCAAAGCTCAACTTGTTAACCTGCCAGGTGAAGACCAACCCTGAAGAGAAAAAGTGTTTTGACCTTATTTCACGTAAGTCTCTTTCTAAGATGCAGAACTGTGGAGAAATTTTAGAGCATCAGTCCCATTTCAAACCTTGCATTTTAAGGAATTGGAGAAGAATGCCCCCTTTTCAAATGTCACCCACGCTCCATGCCCCCACAGGAACTGTCGGCTTGCTAGTCTGTCCAGCTGAGGTTTGACTTGGGGACGGGCCCAGCCCCTATAGGCTCTGTAAACCTACATTCCTGATATTGTACATAGATTTAAGGATTTTTAATTGGGCATGGTGGCTCACACCTATAATCCTAACTCTCTGGGAAGCTGAGGTGGGTGGATTGCCTGAGCTCAGGAGTTTGAGGCCAGCCTGAGCAAGAGCACTGTGGCGGGCGCCTGTAGACCCAGCTACTCCGGAGGCTGAGGCAAGAGAATCTCTTGAGCCCAAGAAGTTGAGGTTGCTGTGAGCTCTGATGCCTTGGCACTCTACTGAGGGTGACAAAGTGAGACTCTGTCTCAAAAAAAAAAAAAGGATTTTAAAAAGGACAATTCTGTTCTCAAAAATTTGCATAACTTGGGTGATATTAGAGTTGTTATGAAACTAAAATGGTAACATCTTCAGCAGAGCCCTTGAAGCTTCAGGTTCGAAATTGTTTTACCTTCCCCAGAATTTAGTCTTTCTGCTTCTGTACACGTTTCTTTTTTATGATAGCCACAAAAGAATTGCCATAAAACCATGCATTGTGGCGAATGTTTCCTCAGCACCCCCTAAAAAAGAAAAGAAAGGCCTGTGCTAAAAGAAAATCAGATAAACCTTTGTCGCTGGTAGTGCTTTGTGGCAGGGTTACTGTTTGGAGGAAGAAAGGGCCAGTCTCCTCTTTGAAGAGATAGTCACTGGAGATTCGAGCACAAGGGTTGATGTTTGCAGAGGAAATCTCCAGACTATACATTGTAGGAACATGGTGCTGTCCCACCTGCTTCGGTGGCCTGAGCAGGAGATGGCTGCTATTTCTAATGCCTGTAGACTTGTACCGTTGAGGGCTATGAAGTCATTTATTGTGTGACTTTGTGCTCCATGTCCACTTTGCCCTTCATGCCTTGTCCTTGTCCTCCTCGAGTTTCCCTGTAGCATGTGCTCTGAGTTACACTGGTGGGAGGGTTGAGTCCCATGATGCGTGGGGGGTTCACATATGGTTTATTCTGTCCTTGGGACTCTAGGCTGATTTGTAAAATAAAAATGGACTTTATCCTGCTTTGAAAGCTCATCCCTACTCAGCCTGGTATGGTCCACAGCTTTGGTTATGCCTTCTCATCGAAGCCTGCCCTTTTTTCATACAAAATGTTATAAAATGTTAAGTAATGATGATGGTTTAAAATGTGATCACAGGCTGGATATGGTAGAACGTGCCCACAGCCCCAGCAGTTGGGAGGCAGGAGAATTGTATAAGCCCAGGAGCTTGAGTCCAGCCTGGACTGCAGCATAGTGAGACCCCATCTCTTAAAAAAAAAAAAAGAAAAGAAAAACATGATCACTGTCACGGAAGCTTGAGTTAAAGAGAGAAAAACGTAGTGATGTAATCCTATGTTTGCCGGTGGCTGGGGAAGACTCGGGGGCTTTAGGTCTTTTCATTTCTGAAGTAGCAACCCAGGATAAACTATGTGTTACCCTAATTGTAAAAGTCTTCTTGGCATGTAACAGTGAAAACTGAGGTCAGCTGAGCCTTGCTCCCAAGTGGAGATGGGGACAAGGACATGTTCCCTCAGCTACCCCCAGGCCCTCCAGCTCGCCCTATAGAGAAGTCTAGCCAGACACTAAATGGCAGAAGCATTTACCCTGAGTTATTCCCTAGCCTACACCAACATGTCAGGCACCAGGGAGGATCCGTAGCTGTAAGGGTGCGTAACTCCCTGCCAGGCAGGAGTTATTGCCCACTTGTGGGAAGACAGTCCTTTGTACGTCGGGGTACACGTGAGCGCTGTGGCAACTGACATTTACCAGGCCCAGTCAGTGTCTTTCCTGCAGCCTGATGCCTAATGAAGTCTTCAGGAAGGACTTTCAGCCTGTGATAGCCGGAAGAGCTCACCAAGCCCAGTTGGAGACACTGTCATGAATTTGCTAGAGTCAGTCGTCATCTGTGAGAAAAACTCTCCTCCTTCCTCTCTCCCTGCTTGTCCCGTGTGTAAAATGAATCCCAGTCCCGAATTCTTCATCCTCAGCTGGTTTGCAGGTGGTGCTACTTCTCGGGAGCATCTGTGATGAAACATTTTGTGCAGTGCTCTCTGGGCTTGGGTGGCTGTGAAATGCTCAAAACATCTTCTAGCAGTGAAGTCTGGTGAGCACCCAGGGAAGGTGAGGGGCAGGGGGACAAGGACTGTTTCCGTGCCTCTCTTAGGAGAGGCTGTTTCTACCCTCTCACATTCTTCCTCTACTTCCTATCAAGGCTGGTGGGGTGAGTACCACAAAAATGCCTTTGGGCTCTCAATTCATCTAAGTGGTTGGGCCTAGGCAGTGAGTCTAGCAGACACCTCCTAAGTCACCCCTGCATCCCCATCATCCCAGAGAAGGAACAGACTGACTGGCTTCAGTTATTTCCTGCAAGACTATCTTCCATCATCCTTTCCCTTTCACAGAGATTCTATTTTGTTTATACCTGATCAAATGGGTGTAAATGGGCCCAGGCTTCTCCAGGTTACAGGAGGACCTGCTCTTCTGGGAGATTGTCCACTTGCCCTTGGACTAACCCCAACCTTTGCAAATCCCAGTCTTGAGCCATCATCCTTGAATCATGCAGGTACCTTGGCTAGGATGGAAGGAGCAGGAGAACTGTGAGGACAGTAGTCCTCTGCATAGGACAGAGCCCAGAGGGAATCAGTGACTCTCCAGGCTCCCAGGCAGGTTAGTGGCCAGTGGGAGCCAGAGCCCCATCCAGGAGCTGGCCTTCCTGGGCCCCCAGCATGTCAGAGCCCCGGTTATCCTCCCATGTCCTCTGGAGTTTCTCCCTTATAGTTGGGATGCTGGAAATTGTTCTTTGTTTTATAGGCATCTTGAGCGAGAGTCTGCAGTGGAGGGGATTCTTATTTGGAGTCTTCCACAGAGGTGTGCTCCTCCTTCTCCCATTTCCACACATTAGAATCCAGAATTGACCAAAGGCAGTGGGCTCCCCCATACCACCTCAGTCCTGCCTGGTCTGGCCATGGAATGGCTCAGATGCAGGGCACTGGTGTGACTGCTGCTGCTATGACAGCTCCCTGGGAGCTCAGGGATCCACTTAGCAAATCAGCTGGAGACCCTGAGTGGGGCCTAGATTGTGGATCTGTCCCTTTTCTCCCAAGATGAGGCTATTCCTGCCAGGTAAGTCCTTCGGAGCAGGACAGAGTAGCCTTGCCCTCTATTTCTTCAGCCTGGTTTAGCCGTTCACATTTAGAATCACAAAATCAGGTTCATTTTCTGGATTTGAAATAGTTCTCGTCAACCTTGCTCCCCTCCTCAGATGGGATAGAGTGTTGTTCCACTCCCCCACTCCCCCATTCACCCACCTCCTGGTGTTAAGCAAAAGGTGGGGAGATCGCTGGGGCCAGGGGCCAGACGCCCGAGTCCTCTGCCGCTGGCTGTGCTTCTCTTTGCCACTTCACCTCTCTGAGCTTCAGCCTCAGCCCAGTCTACTTGCCAGGAGTTGTTCTCAAACCAAAGTGCTTGGGGGGAGGGGGCTGTGGCTCAGTGGGTAGGGCGCCAGCCCCATATACCCGAGAGTGGTAGGTTTGGCCCTGGCCAAACTGCAACAAAAACAAATTGCCAGGAGTTTGTTGTGGACACTTGTAGTCCCAGCTACTCAGGAGGCTGTGGCAAGAGAATCGCCTAAGCCCAGGAGTTGGAGGTTGCTGTGAGCTGTGTGAAGCCATGGCACTCTACCAAGGGTGATAAAGTGAGACTCTGTCTCTACAAAAGAAACAAAGTGCTTTCAGGAGTAAAAGCCACTGCCGGAAGGTGTGTGTCTGCTCACTTGAGGGGCACAGATGTTTACTGTGTTTCTTTAAGAAACTCTGCTCTGCCATCCTCAGAGGCTAAATCTCCTCCCCCTTTTCCCTCTTTTAAGAATTTAATTTTTTTTTACTTTGTTTTTGGACTGATAGAAGGTAGTCTCTGTATCTCTTATCCAGCTTCCCATATTGTACCAGTAGTCCATGGTGAATGTCATCTACCACAGGTAGTTATCAAAACCAGGAAATTAAGATTGACTTGATGCTCTGAACTAAAAATTGTACTCTGATTTTATTAATTTCCCACTAATGTCTGTTTTCTGCTCCAGGATTCCCGACAGGACCCCACACCACATTTAGTTACTGTTTTATCCTGGTCCTCTGTTAGCCTCTGTCAGCCCTGTCACCTTCCCTTGACCTCATGGTACCTTTTGACAAGTATTCATCCTTTCTGTGGTCAAATGTCCCTTAATTTGGATTTCTTTGTTGTCGAAATTTCTTCATTGTTGGATTTCTTTGGTCAAACGTCCCTTACCTTGGATTTCTTTGTTGCCTGTTTTTTTTTCCCCATGATTGGACTGAGTTTGTATTTTTGGCAAGAACAGCACAGAAACTAGAGTGTCTGTCACACACACACACACACACACCAGCAGCCTGGCAGAGCACCTGTAAAACCTTGCTGACACCAGCTGTGTGAGGAGTACAGGATTTTATATCCGACTATTATTTGAACACTGTCCTCTTGCTTTACTTGTATATGTATAATACACAACTCCCAGGAGTATGTTATTCTTAGCTTTTCTCATACTAAACTTTTTCTGAGAAAGCCAAAAAAATTTCAGAGATAGTCTCTTCAGAACAGGCTTTTATTATTCAAAGGTCTTTTTGGGGGCCAACTGTATAGTGAGTTTTAAAAATAAAGCTTTTGAGAAGATACAGTTTTCAGGGAAAAGCTTCCATTTTTGGAAGCTGCATCTTTTTAGACTTGAACGGGGGGATAGGGCAGGTTTATTAGTTTGCATCACAAAGCCGCTGTTGCCACGCGAGGGCAGACATTTGAAGGATGCAGAGGGAGTGCTTGATTTTATACAAATCATTAATTTTCTAGCAGAGAGCTAAGATTATTGTTGAGTTAATTAGAAACTGCTTTCTTTTGAAATTGTGTATGGATTAGTGTCTGGGCTCACAGTTGATGAAATTCCTCTTGCCATGCAGATGACAGGACATACCACTTTCAAGCAGAAGATGAACAGGAATGTCAGATGTAAGTTACCCAGAGGTGGGACTTTGGGCTGTACTTAGCCGTTGTTCTTGGGATTTAACAGTGTCACTCTTGTTTTTCTAGATGGATGTCTGTGTTGCAAAACAGCAAAGAGGAAGCTTTAAACAATGCATTTAAGGGAGATGACACCACTGGAGAAAATAACATAGTCCAAGAACTGACAAAGGAAATCATCTCAGAAGTCCAGCGGATGACGGGCAATGATGTGTGCTGTGACTGTGGGGCCCCAGGTGACTGACTGCTCTACCCGGGCCCTGGGACAGTTAAATCCCATTCTGATTCACAGAATCCTCTCATTGACTTTTCACTTTCATTTCCAACATGAAATTAAGTGCTGCTCAGCTTGAGTTCATCCCATTACACAAATGCTTAATGAATTGTGTGCAGACCATAGAGAGGAGAGGGGTGGGAAGACGTTTGCCTGTTGTACCCCAGAGCAGGACCAAATAAAGACGGCCTGATGTGGCTGAAAAGATTTAGGTGCTTTTTGAGAAATGAAAACTGAAGGGTTCTGTGAGGGTGAAATCAAGGTCATCTGGCGGTCATGCCAGCTCTGCGAGGTGGCATGTGGAGGGAGTGCTTGATTTTATAATTTTATAATTCTGGTGTCTGTGCCCAGAATTTGCTCCCACCTCTCTTTGTCCTACTTTGTGGAACTTCTGAAGTAACTTTAAGCTGCTGTCTGTAGCTCGGTGACCCTGGGGGAGACACTTACTCTGATAGATGTCAGTTTTCCGATCTGTAAAGTAAAGGGACACAGTCCCTTGTAGCTGTCACATTCTGTGAAATGAGATGTTTACTTTTGCAATGGAGTGAAGCACATTAGGGGCTTCATTTTTAATGCATATGTAGTGTCACCAGCAGTTTTAACAAGTAGTATTTTAAAAGCTTAAGGAATTAACTGTGATTAAGATGAGATGATGTTGGGGGGGGGCAAGGCACCTATGTGGGTGCCTTTTCTGAACATTCCTAAAAGGAGAAAAACTGGCGCTTGGCTACAACAGTAAGTTACTTTTTCATTCCTATAATTCTGTGTCAGTCACTGTGAAAAACACACAGCTGAAACAGTGGACAATTGAGAAGCATCATTAGGTTCCAATTAACCTGAAGGTCATCTTTGGTTTTGGATCCATTAAAAATATCTTTTTGGCAGGAGATGAGGTAGGTCGGAAGTATAAGCAATGAATTGTGATCTTTCTTCAGAAAGGGTAAAGACAGTACAGGACTTAGATTTTTAAAACACTTTCATAAAGGATGACTGAAAGCTGCATACTTTCTTGTTTTAAAATGCTAGGGCACTGCAGGTGACGTGTTATAAATACACAATATAAAGGCACCTAGACGCATACACGCAGCCCCCTAAAAGCCTGATACATATAGTATAGTATTCTTAGACAAGGGCAAACACAGATGCCCCAGAAGATTTTCCAGAGTGGGTAAAAAATTTTATAAATGGGAAATTTTAAAAATAACTTCACAATTACCTAGTGGCCAACATTGCCATAATCTCTTACTATGAGTTTATGAGGGCGACAAGCAATTCGGAAGAGAGTTGTACTTACGGGCTGTGAAAATGTACTCAAGTGCGTCTCATTTTTAGTAAATTCATCATTCATCTGTCAGGCATTCTCTGGGTCCCTACTGAGCACATAGTAGGGTTCTTCAGTGAATAAGTAAACGTGCTGTGAGGGGGATGCATGGCTTTGAACTCAGGTAAACACAGGCTGGAGTCTGCCCTGCACTTGCTCATGAGCCTTGAGTCTGAGCCTGTCAAAGCTGCATCCCTGTCCTGGTCATCCCTTTGGGCTCTCTTAGGTATTAAATGAGACACCCTACAAAAGTGCTCTGTGATTTCTGGAGCTCTCACCGTGTGAACTATATTACTGCTTCCATCAGAGTGCTGAGCACAGCACATCAGAAGCACAGAGGGTATGTTCTCTATTATTATTCACGCCTATAGGCAGGTGTATTTTCAGCCTATTCCCCTTATAATCCTAGACCTTGGCTGTCTCATTTCTTTTTCTTGCTCCACGCTGCTTGTTGGTGATGGGTATGATCTGTATTCACGAGCTGTGGTCACTGGAGTGCAGTGTCCTATTTACTTCTGCACACATAACCCCGTCACTTAAGTGAATAGAAGGATGGGGAGATGGCAGAGGGACAAGCAGGAGAACCGACACGTGCACATATGTAGGTTGTATGTAAATTGGTGGTAATTGCGGGTGAACAAGGGTCCCAGCTGAAATGTGACTGTGCGGGGGGATTCTGGCCTTGGTCCTCTTATTACTTATTACTGCAAATTCAAGCTCAAATCTGCCCTGTTCTCTTTGGCAGATCCCACATGGCTTTCTACCAACCTGGGCATCCTGACCTGCATCGAGTGTTCTGGAATCCACCGAGAGCTGGGGGTTCATTACTCCAGGATGCAGTCCCTGACCTTAGATGTATTGGGAACGTCGGAGCTGCTGGTAACCTTTAAGTCTTTGATTTGGTGTTGGGAATAAATGACCTGGAGGCCAAAGTTTTTATTTTGGTATTTGAATCCATTTTGGCTTCCCGAATTTCCCGTCGGCAGGTGGTCATTGATATGTTGCCAGATGGGTTTGGGTGATTAGAAATGCAGTGATAATTCCTCATTTTCAGCTGCTAGTAGTTAGGGGCACTTCTTGTTGCAAAATGTTATTCATAAGGGAATAAAAGGAAGTGAAATCAAAAAGAGAGTATTGAGACTAGTGTAAGTTTCTGTTGAAATGCCACAGGATGGTGGCCTAGTCCAGTTCAGCTCATCCACTAGACCAGGCGTCCTCAAACTACGTCCTGTGGGCCACATGCAGCCCGCCTAGGACAATTATCAGGCCCTCCAGGTGTTTTTGCTGCCACTGCCTGTCCTGCTTAGCAGCTGACTGGTCCTGGGGCCCTCAGTCTGGACCTCCAACAGTCTGAGGGACAGTGAACTGGCCCCCTGTTTAATAAGTTTGAGGACCCCTGCACTAGACAAACACAGAACCCAGAGCCTGGCGACAGTGGGATTCAGTCCCCCTCAGTTGCTAGCCCCCTCTGTAAGGCTGTGGTCACTGCTTTGCCTCCTCCTCCAGGAGTACTCTCCTGCCCCACAGTGTCCCCCTTGGGAGGGATATTGGTTTTTGTTTTTACTGCCTTTGTTCCTGAAAACATCTTTCATTCTTGGTTCAGTTAATCACACATAAGCCATGGGGTGGAGACAGAGGTGTTTTCGGTGAAGTAGCTTTCAGAGTATTGAGTTCGTGGCCACACAAGGTGCATCAGACTTAGGTTATGCTTTTGGTCTCCTGAGACATGAGCATTTAAGGACTGAGCATTTCAAAGTCCGCAATTGCCGGTTAGAAAGCAGCACTTGAAATTCCTCCATGAACCAGCTGGGTATTGACAGTAAACAGCAAGTAGATATTGAGTGCCATTGATTTTAATGTTGAATGTAAAAGTTATATCTAGAAGATTTAATGTCAAGAGCCAGAGTCTTGACAGGAAGTCAATTATTGAGGTCCATATTCCTCTCAGGGGGCCATCAATCTTAATTGATGATGTCTCTAGAAGCAGAGCGGCTGAGCTGCTCATGCACTCTGAACTCTCCTATCAAACCCTTCCAGTCTTTCCAAGGAATTCCTGTGTGGTCTTAAAAGACAGAGTTGGGAGGAAGTAGAGTGGATCCTGGTGGTCCAGTTAGTAACATTCCTACTTAATACTGGAAACTAAGCTAGACTGAGCAAGACCCAAGCATGCGATCTTGGTTACACGCTGTCATTACTGTTAGTGTGATCGTGCTTACGACCGGCCTCTTAAAGGTGTGTATGTTCCGTGTGGTCTCCAGTCACTGATGACGGTGGAGATTTCAGATTGTCACAGCATGTTTTCAGAGAAACACTATCACTTCTTGGTTAACACCAGTCGACTATGGCACTTGCTACTTTTACTGATTTTCTTAGAACAGTGGGAAGTGTTAAGTGATTCATGATGAAATAATAATTGCTTATTTTGTACTAGGTACTTTGCAGACCACTTTGTGTGTTAGCTCATTTGATCTACACAAAAACCTAAAGATGTTGGTGTGTTATCCCCACTTTACAAAGAAAGAAACCAAGGCTTAGACTATTTGAATATGCCCAGGAGTGTGTGTCTGTTAATGAACCACATCTGTGGTGGGACCCTTTAAGCTGATTCCAGACCACACACTTGAACCTTGAGGGGCCTTTGGGGGGGGGATCATCTTGCTATGTGGCAAACATTTAAACATCACTGCTGTCCCTGCCTATCGTCTACCCCCAACAAATGTTTAACAGCCACCTCGGGGGCAGAAAGAACCCTGGTTTGCAGTCAGGCTGTTCTCATAGTATAAACACTCCCACCATAGCTAATTTCAAGCTGCCCATGTGAATTACTGAATGTGAAGCTGGACAGAAATGTATAATTATGCACCACTGTATACTACATTCACCATATAAATACAGTGGGCACAAATGACTTTCGAGAACCCAGATAATAGTAAAATGTAGTTTTACTATTCACTATACTAAATAATTAGGAAGTGATGACTTTTGAGTATTTAATACCTTAGTTTTTAATACCATTTGTTTAACTATGAGTTTATATACTGTAATTTTTAATAGCAGCCATGTTTAACAGTTGGCTCATAAAATTCCTGAAATTTTAACAGTTGGCTCTCATAAGCTGGTAGGTGTCTGACCCTAACCCCTTCCATCTGTTATAACTGCTTAAATGTGTCTCAAAAATATAACTAACGATCTTCATGAAACTCTATTGCCTACTAAAGAAGAAAACACCAAAGAAGGTTGAAAGGCATGTGTTTCTGTCATGATGAAACCATGAGGTAACTTCTCATCCCTGGTTCAGAGTTCCGTTTTTATCTGGCTGAGCCTCTGTCTCTAGAGTTTAGCCAACTCTCAGCCATGATGAGAAATCAGGCAGTGCCTGGTTTATTAATATCTGCAGGTATTTTCTTTTTCTTTCTTTTTTTGTTTTTTCGAGACAGAGTCTTACTTTGTTACTCTTGGTAGATGCTGTGGCGTCACAGCATACAGCAACCTCCAACTCCTGGGCTTAGGCAATTATCTTGCCTCAGCCTCCTGATGTAGCTGGGACTACAGGTGTCCACCACAATGCTTGGCTATTTTTTGTTGCAGTTTGGCTGGGGTCCAGTTTGAACTACCCTTGGTATATGGGGCCACCCTCGGTATATGGGGCAAGTGCCCTGCCCACTGAGCTACAGGTGCCACCCATCTGCAGATATTTTCAAAATCTAACTCCTGCCATAGTTAAACTGTCCCTCATCTCAGCCTTTACCCCCTATGTCTGTCAGAAAAGCAAAGGAAGAGAAAGATCCTGGGTGCATCGTGTGGGATCTGTCCTCCCTCCCGCCTGCCCTATCTCTGGTTGGTCCACCTCACAGGAGACGGACGTCTCCCCAGGTCTTGTGTACTGGGGTGGTTTGTCGGTGCAGCATCATGTCTGAAACCTTATTCCTCGGCAGCCCTGCAGTTAGCAGTACGGAGAATGTCAGGTGTTAGTATTCATTTGTAAAACATAGAAATTCCAAGCCTTTTTAAAGCTACCTTGTATTATGTTGCTTAGACAATCAGACGCCTGAATTAAAGAATTCCTAAAGTTTTGACACCTATCTCTCTCTCTCTGTATATGTGTATTTAGAATTGTGTTTGGCACATACTAGGGACTATAAACTATTAGCTATCATTATCTTCTCCTCCAGCGTGATTTTAACAAAACTGGTTCAGAAAAATGATCCACGTGTCCTAACTATGTGATTCCACAGGAGATGGCTCCGTCTATACAGGTTATCTGCTCTGCTCGCGAACCTTTCTGATTTGTAGAACTGTGTGCAGCACCAGTCTTCGGCTGACTTGTTCATCAGTGTTTTCTTGTGCAGCCAGTGTGGACGAGACCTCTTGGTACCCTTAGTGGGTGCAGTCTGGACAAACGTCTCCAGGAATAGAATCTCTTGTCTTTTGGGTAAATAACAGGACAGCTCATGCCTCGGACTAAGAGGGGAGAGATTTTAAAAAATATATTTACTTTTTTTATTGTACATATTATGGTGTATGTGATGTTTTAGTATATTAGACACATTGTGGAATGATTAAGTCAGGCTGGTCACAGTCACCATGTTGTGTGTTAGATCTCCAAGATTTACTCATCCTCTGAAATTGGGTGCTCATGAGCCAGCGTCTCCTCCCCACCCCTGGGTTACCTCCTCCTGTTCTCTGCTTCTGTGAATTTGACTTTTAAAGACTTCACATAGAAGGGAGATCATTTGTATTTGTCTTTCTCTGCCTGGCTTATTTCACTTAACCTAATGTCCTGCAAATTCATTCATGTTATTGCAAATGAAAGCATTTCTTTTCTTTTTAATAATGTTGCATTGTGTATATATGCCACATTTTCTTTATCCATTCATTTGTTGACGGGCACTTAGGTTAATTCCCTGGGTATTGTAAATAATGCTACGTCGAAGAAGGAGTGTGGATAGAGCAGGGTCTTTGATAAAATGATTTGAAATCTTTTGGGTAAATATACCTAGAAGTGGGATCGCTGTTCATGCTAGTTCTATTTTTAGCTTTTCTTAAGCAACCCTATACCATAATGGCTGTGCTACTTCAGAGTCCTGTGAGCACTATCCAAGGATTCCCTTTTCTCCATATCCTGGCCAATACTTTTAATAAAAGCCATTCCAACAAGTTGTGAGGTGATAACCTCACTGAGGTTTTTTTTTTTTTTCATTCCTACAAACGTTTATTTTCCTTTAACTTTATTGTGCTTTTCTGTAATGATATGAAAAGTCTTTGCTTCCCTTGTCCAGTTGTTAAGATTCAAAAAGCTGTATCTTAACCATAGACTAATCTTCATGTCCTCAATTCCTTGTATGTTTAGTTTCATAGATAAGTATTTATATTAGTTTTCCTTCAGGATATATATATTCCTACACACACGTACATTTTCCTACACGTCTATACATAGAAGCTTTTTATCCTTATCTTGCCACTTAACAATACAACTTCTAATATGTTTTAACAGCTGTTTCTTGGTCATTTTCAAGAGCAAGTTGGTTTCTGAAGAAATCTTGCTGGTGGGTGAAGGATCCATTGAGGGGTTCTCATTAGCTTTTTGCCTGTGTTCTGATCCAGTGGACCTAAAATCTGAAAATGGGAAAGCTTTGATGTCACCGCTAGCCCCGAGGACCACAGGATTCCTTGCCAGTTACATTCCCATTCTTCCAAAACTTGTGGAAGGAGCAGTGAAAGCCCCTTTCTGGTCTTGCCTGGGATTTCTGATCCCTTAAAGATGTTTGTCCACTTTCTTTTTCTACTTTGGACAGAATCTAGTGGTGTCTTCTGAATGCATCTCTTCTAAAGACGTCTGTTTTTGACTTGGGGACTTCTGTTGGGGAAAGAATGTTTAC